GCACGCTTTGTGGGCCAACCTTGGCACAGGTAAAAATTTACAACAATTTGAGTGAAATTATTACCATGAGCTTTGCCTCAGGCGTAGCCAATCTAGTGATGTACAAACTGTGTTTCCACCTTTTAATGGTCATAAATTGTGTAACCCCACAGAACTTTTTTTGTTGAAGTGTTTCTGGCCATTAGTAAAGTAAAACTTTAGTGAAGTTGCATGAAATGTTTAAATGTCTAAAAATACATATGCTTAAAATGTCTTCAGGAAAAAAAAAATATGTTAAAGAGAAATATATTTTATATAATATATTTTAAATAGCTATTTTTCAGCTCCATCTTGTTCATTTTGCACATCTGGCAGCAGTCTCCAAGCCGTACCTGTTAAATATGTTAAACTAAAGCTAATATGCCAGGATAACATACATTTTTGATAGCTTTGACTTTAAAATTACCGTTTCTTAGACTAGGTGTAAAAAAAAAAAACGATGACAAAAAAGCCAAACGTAAAGTTTGTTAAACTTTTGAGTTATGAAATTTGGAAAAGAGATCACTTCACAGCTATGCAAAAAGTAATGTGTAAATTATCCATTATTGTTCTCACAGTCACTATTTAAGTCATACAAAATTCTATTCAAGCTAAAACCATTTTAATATAATTGGTATTATTTTAATATTATATAATATATATGCAGATTTTTAATCCATAAAAGTCAGGGAATTTGATAAAGTGGAAGCAGTGTAGTAGGTTTGGACATTAAAGATGTCCATATGAAAGCAACAAGTGATACCAAAGTCCCTTAAATGCAAATGATTTCACTTGGCGGCCGTCTTTGAAACGCCGCGTGGGCATTCTGTCTAAATGGATAAACATTAAATTCTCCAAAACTGTTTGCCAAATTATGATTGTTACATATTTGGAATCACCAATAAAATTCCAGTGTGTTTGTTCACCATCTAACTTGTCGTCAAAGCACACATCTGGTCCGAGTTTCTCCCCCAGAGAAACAACAGTCTATGGGTGTATTCACACCTTCCTTTCTTACTTCGGTTGAATGGCATTAGAGTTTGTTTTCCCGCTTGGTGCGATCTGTTTGGGCAGGTATGAATATAGCAATCCTACTCTAGTGCCCAACAAAAGTGGACCAAAAAAGCATACTGAGGCCTCCTTGAAAAGGTGGTTTCAGTACGCTTTCAAACAAACTCTGAAGCGGAACAATGCGATGTATATTATATGGAATATATATTATGGAATCTGGAGGAAAAATGTTTGTTGACAGAGCTTTATCAACAATTTTAAACAGAGAGAAAGGGAGAGAGAGGGAAAAACATTAGCTGTTGGATTGTTGGTAATATTTCCAATAGATGACCATTTTGCAGTTAAGCAAAATTAATCCACGCCTCCTCCTGACGTGACTTGCGATGCACCTTCGTCATTTGCAATGCATTAAAAATTGTTTTCCAGCCGCAGCCACGCTTTGTTCTTAAAATGTATAGTTTGTCTAAAGCAGGGGTGTCAAACTCAATTCCTGGAGGGCCAAAGCACTGCACAGTTTAGTTCTAACCCTGCTCCAACACACTGTAGGTGTGTACCTGTACCTGTAGGTTTCAAACAAGCCTGTAGGACTCTATTAGTTTGATCAGGTGTGTTTAATTAGGGTTGGAACTAAACTGTGCAGAGCTGTGGCCCTTTTGGAACGGAGTTTGACACCTGTGATGTATACAAACTATCTAGTATACTATGACCGGGGATACAGTCAGCCAGCGATGTCGACCCTCTATAGTAAAAAGCGACATTTTGTGTCTACCTTTCTTTTCTTGCAGGAGTACCATTATCATTTTCCTGCACATTTATTCTGACCAATCAAAAAACAGCTTAGGAAATGCGTTCAATAACATCTGGCCAATGAGCAATGTGTCACATTACTGCATTTTGGTTCTTTTCAACTGGTTCGGACCAAAGCAATCAGTGTGGTGTGAATAGGACCCAAAAACGGCAGAAGAAAGCTACAGTGTATCATTTGTTGCCCTTGCTCTGGCCCAAATGAACCACAGATGTGAAAGTAGCCTATAGCGATCAACAATTGGCTTCTGTATAGTAGACAGGGCTTAATTCGCTATATTGACCGGTACACTTTTCCCCATTCGAAACCATACGAGTAACATGCTTTGTGTATTCTTTAGTGTTTCACAGAGCAGTTAGCTCACGTGTTCTAGGCATCAATAAAGGTGGCAAAATAAAAAAAAACACTTGTGCTGTTCTCTTCAATGGTTAACTTCTTGTGAACGTGATTGCAGGTGCCGCACCATTGCTCTAGAAACAGGCATGCAGAACGCCCAGCTGGCAAGTACTATTACCCAGTTGTCCTTTAGCCCTGCAGAGCTTGAGGTCATGTTCGCGTTTCCCTTAATCTACAGTATCTTCCAACTGGTTGTGGCTGGGATTGCAGTGTCAAGTAAGTAACTAAGAAGTTGATTTGATTTTAAGCTGTAGTTTATAGAGATAAGCCTGTTTGGCAATCCTGAAATTCACTGCATTTATCCTTTTTTCAGTTCATTACTCAATCAAGCGCTGTAGACATCAGACGTTGGTGGAGGAGGATGGGGAAGGCACCATTGAGGATTGCGATAAGCACAGTTACAGCTTGGAGAATGGTGGTTTTAGCTGTGATGAAAATGGCAACAATCAAAACAAAGACAAAGGTACAAAGTTGTGAGCTTAAACGCTCTGCTAGTGGGCCGACGCTGACCTTCTGTTGACATGAACTGTGAACAAGCTATTCAAGCTTATTTCAAGAGTCAACCCTAGTCAAAACCAATGAATGCACTTTCAAATGCTGTAAAGTAGACAGAACAAAATTGATGAGTCTGCCTACCAGTTTATATATGCAAAACTCTCTGTCTCTCTAGATTGTGTTTTGTCTTGGGTCTGCAACATTTAAGTAATACATTGTAAGTCAGTGTACATGTGTGAAAGGATTGCTAAAAATATACTCCCTTCTCAGATCTACTTAAAAATACAATTTATTCCATCGCTGGTGTAATAAAGCAGTTTACAGTAATTTAGGGAAACATACGGTGCAAATATACAGTAAGTTAAACGTATGCTAATTTATTCAAATGTTACTTTGTATACACATAATTGTAATGGTCTTAAAACTGCTTTAAGCATTTAACTGCTATAAATTACCATGTAAAAGCTGTTGAAAGTTTTAATGCAGTGTTTTACTTTTTAATGTGTTATATTTATATGCAAAACACCCTGAATAAAGGAATATTTAAACATGCAATGTTAGCATACCAAAGAGTTTGCTTGGTTATTATTTGGATATATTGGCTGTGTGTTAACCTTCTAATTGGGATTGGAACCAAAATATGCAAGACACTGGCCCTCCAGGACCGGGTTTGGACCAAGTGTGCCGCAAGCCTTGGTTTGAGTGAGGGTCTCGGCCGTTAGATCGCCCCCTGGGGGCTGGCTGCAGTACAAGTCATAAAGCCCGCCTCCTCCGTGTTAATGAAGGAGACTTGAGCCCAAATAAAAAAAAATATTACACTTGCAATAAAATGTCCCGAAAGATAGTTCTGGTCAATTAAGGCACTGGTTTTTATGCTGAAATAGGTGCAGATCTTCATTTTTGTAAACAGTTTGTTTTTAGCAGTAATTTAATGCTGGGCGTGTCATCGTGATTGACAGTTTCTCAAAGCGCGGCGTCTGAGCTTCGGCAGGAGACTGAAGTAGACTGAAATGTTATTATTCGATTACTGTGTTATTTTACCATGACAAAATGAGTTCAGCAGTAAACTATAGTTTCTGACATACATGATCCTGGTGGAACACTGTTTATTCGCTAAGTTCAGGGCTTTTTTCGGGCTTTATTAGTTTGCTGATACACGCCTAGCCACCCAGATAGCAAAACACAGTTCCGGCTAGATTCTCGCCTGCCGGAGACTTATCTCTTAGAGCTCAGACTGACTAACGTTACCTCTGCTGGACCTACTCCGGATGCCTGGACTCACTACCCAATTCCAGCCCGAGTCAATCGAGCCAGATGCGGCGGCCGAGCGAGCAGGCGCTGCCGCATGCGAGCCGGAATCAGCCCGCGACGCCGCGAGTAAGTTATGCGCTGCGGCCTGGAGCTGGCGCGATTGAATATATAAAACCCTCATATTTGTTAACGTTTTTACATCCATTTGTGTTGATATGACAGCAAACGCATGCTGAGAAGTTCGGGGGGCGTAGTTGATTTTACATAAAGCGTTTGATTGGAAGTTCGACTCTGCTCATTTTCGCGGCTCCTCCTCTGGCTCCATCAGACAATCCTTCTGCGCATGTCAAGGCTCCAATTTCAGCAGTTTTTTGCGACAGTTTGTGCCCGTCAAGCAGGCGTTTTGCCCTCAAGGCGTTCAATGGGAAAAAGGGCTGTCGCGTCGTCCATATTTTTTACAGTCATTGGTTTGGACACCTCTGGTTTACACGATCCGTTAACAAAACATTTCATCACCTTGGAATTTGCTTAAAGATGACTTGTCATATTTAAATTATGTAACAACTTGCTTCTATTGTGGAAAGAAATCTAGCAATTTAAGGTCACGATTTTGAGTCTGATGACTTTCTCATATCATACACTTGTTGAAGGACAAGTATAAATGGTGACTGAGTTTAAAATTTTCACTTTATTTTCATTTTAGTATTAATAGACTGTCTGCTTAATATCTGTTAATACTGCTCCTTCAACAGACATTTAACTGACTATAAGAAACTTTGCAAGTACATGTCAGCTTGCACTAACCCCAACTTAAAATCTGTCGAAAACTAGTTGGCATGTAGATACAATGTAACTTAAATTCATCAAACGGACCATCAAAACAAAGTATGACCAACATTTTCAGCTCCATCTAAGCTATTTCTTTAAGCTTTTAAATGGATGCGTTAAAACCAATGTGAAATGAAGCATTTTTGGCCATCTAAGTGTAACACATTTCTAGAATCCAGGCACAAAAAGGGGAAGTTTCTGATTTCTATAAATATAGTTACATGGTTACTTGACTCCAGTGAAAGAGAGAAAACAGCAAGGCAAGAAGCTATGAAGATCATTGTGGAACTGAAGATGCTTCTTCTGTTCGCATTCGTCATCCTATTTCTGAAGACTTCATGTGTTTGTTCTTGGCTTAATGAAAAATGTCGTGTCTACAGTGATGGGGAAGAATTTCCTGTTAAAGCATCCTCTGCTTCAAATCTGAACATTACTATATGCCGTAGTGTCACTGACATAAAAGAAGACCTTCAAGGACTTCCTGCAAACCTACTAAATCTCTTTGTTCATATGGACGGAGGCTGTCATGGTGTCCTGGCTCCAAACTCGTTCTCAAGTTTTGCATCTCTGGAACAACTTACAATTTCTGGATGCTTTTCAGAGATCCCTCCAGAAGCTTTTAATGGATTGACGAACGTAACTTCACTAACAATATCTTACAACTTTTCAGAAAACTGCAGTAAAGTAGCTCTTGATTTCAGTCACCTTCCGTCACTTACCAGTTTGTCTATTTCAGACTATAGTTTGTCGTTACTGGCATCAAATGTTTTTGAAACAATTCCTCTTTTGCAAAACTTATTTTTAGCTAATGTGTGTTTGAGGGACATGTCTGAGGTTTTGTGTCGGCTGTCAAAGGTTAAGGCTCTGAAGCATTTTACTCTAAAGGAATTTTTGTTAAAAAGACTTCAGTACCCAAACTGCTCTGTTTTCAACACATCTAACATATCTACTGAGTTCAATATTGAAGAGGTGAATTTGCATTTTGCAACAGTAGAGCATGTAGATGAGGGGGCTTTAAAAGTTTTTGGAAAGCTCTCTAGATTTGCTTTTTCTGTTTCAAGTACAGATTTCCTCAGAAATCTTTCTTTAATTGGAGTGCATAAAATCAGAACTTTGGATTTCAAAGTGGATTTACTTAATGTTGCTGACTTGTGTACAGCAGCAAAGTTATATGGGATTAACTCTATACAAGTTCAGTATAAAACAACTAACTTTTGGCCAACTCATACTAATATTTCTGGTGGCTGTAAAAATATTAAGGATGTAATGCTTGATACAATTTTATATCCTGCAAACCTCTTAGATGTAAATTGTGTTTTCCAGATTTTCAGCAACCTCACCATTATTAGCATATATAAGCATGTGCTCAGATCAGATGATTTCCAAACTCTGTGTGCTTCATTTCCACAAACAGTCAAACATCTTTCTGCCATGGATCTTCGATTAAAGAAGGTGGATACAATAGTTTCTCACCAATTTATGTGTTTTCAAAATCTTGAAATTTTGAACTTTACCTTAAGCAAAATTGTTGTTATAGAGGATTTTGCTTTCATTGGATTGAACAAGCTGAAAGAGTTAAACCTCCGTAAAAACAAAATATCTTCTATTCATCGACACGCATTCAGTGGCTTACATGAACTGAGGGTGCTGGATTTGCAGGAAAATTCAATAATTCACATTGAGCCAGAATCATTAAGACATCTTATTAAGCTTAGCTCTTTTCTGTTGGGGGAACTTAAATTTCCTCCTAACATGTCACTGATCAAGCTGCATTTATCTGACATATTTGGAGGAATTCCACATAATTTAAGTAATGTTTTCATTAGCTCAGGACTGAGACCAATGCACCTTATGATCGGGAGTAATACTACACTAAAACATGGGCTAAACCTGCACATTAAAGGTCAATATGTGATTGTTGAGGACTGCAATAGTTTACTTTTAACATCTGTAGTGACACTTCAGATACATGCAGCATATATGATCTGTGAAAATGAATTCATTGGGAAATATGTGCCATCAGTCGTCAGTCTGGAATTTGAGTCAATGTTCTCTGACAACATTGGAGACTTGTCTGTAATCAATCAGCTTGTTCATTTAAAAACTCTAAAACTGCGAAACATTGAGTTTACAAATCAGCCGAACGCGGCCATAACGTTTCACAATCTGACAAAACTGGAGACTCTGATTCTGTCAAATTGCAGAATATTCTTTCTAGATGGAAGTCTGACCAAAGACTTAAAGGCACTGACAAAACTTTTGCTTTCCCCAAAACATACTGTTAACATTCTACAAAGTTTTGTGGAACATCTTGTTCATTTGGAATACATCCATATTGATAGCATAGATCTGTACTGCAGTTGTGATAATGCATGGCTGTTATCGTGGGTGAAGTACAACAGGAAGGTGGAGGTTGTCGTGTCAAACCCCAGCATGCAAAATTTGCCGTGTTTTATTGGCAATGAATTTGACCAACTCAACTTTGTCAGCTTTATCAAGGAGAACTGCTCATTTGACCTTGAATTTGTGTTCTTCGCCAGCACTTCTGTGTTTTTGTGCATCTTCATTGTTGTGGTCCTGATGTATAAGTTTGTAGGCCAGTACTTGAAGCCGTTCTATCACATCGCTAGTGGATGGTTTCGAGAGGCTTTGCGTATGAAGGAACAACAGCAGTACCGCTATGATGCTTTCGTGTCTTACAGCGGTAAGGATGAGCACTGGGTCATAGAGGAACTTCTTCCAAACTTAGAGCAGCGCGGGCCTCCATTTCTGCGTCTCTGTCTGCACAGTCGAGACTTTCAGTTGGGACACGACATTGTGGAAAACATCACAGACAGCATCTACGCAAGTCGCCGGACTCTTTGTCTCGTCAGTCGCAACTACCTCAATAGCAACTGGTGCTCAGTGGAGATGCAGCTGGCCACCTACCGGCTCCAGGTAGAACACAGAGACATTCTTATCCTGGTCTTCCTAGAAAACATTCCATCTCGCTTGCTTTCCTCCCATCACAGACTGGCCCGGCTGGTGAAAACTAGGACCTATCTGGACTGGCCACAGGAGCCGGAGATGCATGAAGCATTCTGGGACAGGTTGTGGTATAAACTGAGCTCTAATAAAGCCAACTAGACTTTCCTTCTGTTTATTGTGAAATTGCTTAAGATAATTACAAACTTTCTTTTGCAAAGTGATCAATATTTCAGTAAAAGTTTATTAGATTTGATGCTTAAAGAAAATGCCTTTAACATTTTTAAAACTTTTTAAAAACTGAATATAAAGGAAGAAGAAAGCAACTGTTTAATTTGCATTTTACTTGTTTTCTCAAACATTTATTGTAATTAAAAGTAATAACTATTTTCTAATAATTTACTTTTATATAACATGCTTAATAAACTCAGTGTGAATTCGCAATAGTCTATTTTCCTATATTTTTCAATAAGTTGACCATTTGATGTATGTATCCTGCAGCAAACAGGATGTACATTTGCATGTGTGTTTGTGCAAACTAGTTTCAGTTCATTTATTCAGATGTTTACTAGAACACCTTGGTTTAGCTAGCACAGTTTTAGCCTTGTATTTCTCATGCATGTGCCAGTTTACTGTAAACTGACCATATTATGCCCACATTCCCAAACTTGTAATATTATTTGACACATGTATTTACAATATTAAGATTAATGCATTGAGTTTTAAGAGTAGTGGTTAATAATTTAAGAAAATTATTTGTATGTCTTGTTTTTTTATTTGTTTTTCAAATGTCACTTAGTGGTTGCATTGGGTGCTATAGTTTTTGACTAAATTTAACTAAATATGTTAATAAGTATTAGAGTAATGAGCCATTGTTTTCATATTATTTTATTTTATTTTTTCATTAAAAGTACTCAAAAGGTTTAGATTTAATCTCAAGCAATGTGTTTTTTTGTTTTTGTTTTTTGTTTTTACTTTTTAATGTGTTGGTGATCTTTACATGCGAAACACATAATGAATGAATATTCAAATATATGACCTTAGATTTTGACATTAATAGGCTGCAGATTGAACCTAACCATTATGCTGACTATATTTGGTGTGTAACATCCTGATTGAAGGTAACTCTAGTGAAAATTGCTTTTAAATGATCTGATTTTATAATGATCTTTATGCAATAAAAATAGTGTCTTTGTTATTTTGTTGAGAATTTTTTTCAAGCAATCACTGGTTTAATAAACTTTCAAAGCTTTACCCTTAACATTTTACCCAAAATTTAAAATATTGTCTTCAATTATTCACTTTATCATGTTCTAAATGTCTTTCTTCTGTGGAATATGACATTAAGTTTGAAGAATGTTGGTAATTAAACCAATTGTCAACTGACTTCCATTTTATGGATATAAACATAAATAAATAAATCTGCAATATGTAGCATTTGTATAGCAAATTTTCTTCAGCATAAACCCAAGTTACATTACAAGATTTTTTTTTTATTATTTTGCAATGACATGTTAATTTTTATGTGAAATATGTGGTTTTGGAGCATTTTCAGGTGAAAGTAGTTTTCATGTGATCACATACTCTCCACACATAATAACCAGATTTGTTTACATGATCAAAAGGTTTTTACATGAAAATGCTCCAAAACAACATATTTCACATGATATTAATATATCATTGCAAAAGTAAAACTCTTGTAATGCAACTTGGATGTACAATTAAAAAAATTGTGAAAAAATAAAATAAATGTTTCACATGTCCTACATATTTTGCATGTGCTATTTATGTCTGAATCGCATTTGGGTTTTTTATAAAAACTTTTTTTTTCAGTATGGTTTTACAATACAGTATAGTGTCACCATCAAGGCCCACAAAACTGCAAAACAAGCTCCCCCTTCTAGCCTCACTACACCTCTTCCTGGAGTAACCTAGTTTTCCCCTCGAGTTTCTAATTCATGTAATTACCAGTGATGGAAAGAGTAGTGAAAAATTATACTTAAGTTAAAATACCGTTACTTGCCAAAAATCTACTGCAAGTAGAGTAAAAGTGTTGTAAATATTACTCAAAGTATGAGTAAAAAGTAAACCTTTTAAAAGTACTCAAGTGTAATGAGTAGTATTACGCTGTAAAAAGCTGATGCATTTACATGTAATTTGTGCATGTCTGTAAACGTAACATTCTGTAGTTATTGCCCAGCAGGCACACAACGTCATAAGATGTTAATAGTAGGGTAAATTTAGGTTGTGATGTCAGGTGAGCAAAATTCAATATCCAGCCAGCATCTAAGGACAATGTTATTTTGATATCCAATAACGACGTGAAATGACATTGATATTTGGTTGATTTTAGGTTTGACATTAATGTCGGCCTGATATTGAGTTCTGATGTCAACCCGATGTTCATTTCCAAACAAAATGCAACGTCACCACAACTTTGAGGTACAACGTCAATCTGACTTCATGTTGACATCTTGTGCCTGCTGGGTGTTTAAGGCCATTTCGGTCATCAGACAGTAAACATCCATCATCTTCTCATCATTGTCATGCATCTAAACAGTCTCTGGGTCAATGCGTATAAAGAGTTTGGACGTCTTCTTGAACACTTTTAATGCTTCCAAGCAGTTTGCTGCAATTACAAATGGCATGTCTTCAGGTAGTTCAGTATGATTTGATTTACCTTCTAAGTGTGATTTGATTGGACAGGAAACACAGGACTGATTTTTCTAATCCCCATAGATAAGAAAAAATAAAGTAGTGACTGCAGGTTGAAGTAGGGGAGTAAAAGTACCAATACTGCACTAAAAATGTACTCAAGGGAAAGTAAAAGTAGTAAAGTACACATTTTAAAACTACTAAGTAAATTACACATTTCTAATGTGTTACCTTACACCACTGGTAATTACCTAGCAAACCTGGCTTCATTAAGCAACCAGTCTTGGGTTACTGGGAGATGTTGCTTCTACAGTATAGAAAAAAGTAAATGTTTAGAAGTACATATGGTGATGGAATTTAAAATTTGAGTGTGCTGTCCCTTTAACACATTTAACTAAATATGTTAATAAGCATCTGAACTGATAAAACTGTCCATGTGTCACATGTAAATATAAATGTGGTCACAAAAAGGGAAGTTTATTTCTTGCTCAAATCTTCTGATATGGTTAAACACCTCAAGAGACAGAGGCCAGAACAAGAAGATCATAAGCTATGAAGATTATTGAGGAACTGAAGATGGTGCTTTTTTTTGCATTCTTCATCCTATTACTGAAGACTTCATATGTTTGTTCTTGGCTTGCTGGAAAATGTCATATTGAAAGTGACGGGGAAGAATTTTCTTTTAGCACATCCTCTCCTCGAAAACGGAACACTACTGTATGCCGTAGTGTCACTGACATGAAAGAAGACCTTCGAGGACTTCCTGCAAACTTACAAAATCTCATTGTTCAGACGGATCTAGGCTATCATGGTGTCCTGGCTCCAAACTCATTCTTACGTTTTGGTTCTTTGGAAAATCTTGAAATTGTGGGATGTTTATCAGAGGTCCCTCCAGGAGCTTTTAATGGATTGACGAATGTGACTACACTAACACTATCATGTTCCCAACAATGCACTGAGGTAGCTTTTGATTTCAGTCGCCTGACCTCACTTACCAGTCTGTCTCTTTCAGACTATAGTTTGTCATTATTGCCATCAAATGTTTTTGAAAAGATTCCACAGTTGCGATGGCTACATTTATGCAGTGAGTGTTTGAAGGAATTATCTGAGGTTTTGTGTCGGCTTAAAAATGTTAAATCATTGAAGTACCTTGGTTTAGGTAATACAATGTTAACAAGACTTCAATACCCAAACTGCTCAGTTTTCAACGTCTCTGAAATATCGACTAAGTTTAATATTGAAAGAACGGATTTGCTTTTGGGAAAGTTAGAGCATGTAGATGAGGGGGCTTTAAAAGTTTTTGGAAAGCTCTCCAGGTTGTATTTTACTGTTTCAAGCAAAAATTTTCTGAGAGATCTTTCTTTAATTGGAGTACATCAAATTAGTGTAATAATTGCCACAGTGGATGTACTTAATGTTGACGATTTGTGTGTAGCAGCAAAGTTATATTCAGTTAAGTCTGTAGATGTTGATTATGATACAATTAACTTGTCACTGACTTCTAAAATTTCAGATGGCTGTAAACAAATTGGTTACATTATGCTTGAAAATAACATATTTGGAAAGACTGTCAACCTCTTAGATGTAAATTCTCTCTTCCAGATTTTCAGCAACCTCACTTCTGTTACCATAGATAAGCATGTGCTCAGATCAAATGACTTTCAATCTCTTTGTGCTTCATTTCCACAGACGGTCAAAAAGATTTCTGATATGGTGCTACGAATTATTAGGATAGATAAGATAGTTTCTCATCAGTTTATGTGTTTTGTAAATCTTAAAACTTTGAAGTTAGCAATGAGCAAATTTTCTGTCATAGAAGATTTTGCTTTCATTGGATTGAACAAACTGAAAGAGTTAAACCTCCACAGCAACAAAATATCTTCTATTCATCAACACACATTCAGTGGCTTACATGAACTGAGGGTTCTGGATCTGAATGAAAATCCATTATTTCACATTGAGCCAGAATCATTTAGACATCTTATTAATCTTAGGACACTTCTATTGGGAGATCTGAACTTCCCTCCTAACATGTCACTGATCAAGCTGCATTTATCTGACATATTTCGAGAAATTCCACGCAATTTGAGTAATGTTTTCATTAGTTCAGGACTGAGACCAATGCATCTTGTGATTGGGAGTAATACTACACTGAATAATGGGCTAAACTTGCACATCAAAGGTCAATATGTGATTGTTGAGGACTGCAATAGTTTACTTTTAACATCTGTAATCACACTTCAGATAAATGCTGCATATATGATCTGTGAAAATGAATTCATTGGGAAATATGTGCCATCAGTCGTCAGTCTGAAATTTGAGTCAATGTTCTCTGACAATATTGGAGACTTGTCTGTAATCAATCAGCTTGTTCATTTGAAAACCCTAAAACTGGAAAACATTGATTTAACAAATCAGCCGAACACGGGCATAATGTTTCACAATCTGACAAAACTGGAGACTCTGATTTTGGCAAATTGCAGATTATTATTTCTGGATGGAAGTCTGACCAAAGACTTAAAGGCACTGACAACACTAGTGCTATTCCCCAAAGATACTGTCAATATTCTACAAACATTTGCTGTTCATCTCATTCAATTGGAGTTTGTCTGTTTTTATAGATTGGGTCTGTACTGCAGTTGTGATAATGCATGGCTGGTCTCGTGGATAAGGGACAACAGGAAGGTGGAGGTTGACATGTCAAACCCCAGCATGCATGATTTGCAGTGTTTTTTTGGCAATGAATTTGACCAACTCAACTTTGTCAGCTATGCCAAGGAGAACTGCTCATTTGACCTTGACTTTGTGTTCTTCGCCTGTTCTTCTGTGTTTTTGTGCATCTTTATTGTTGTGGTCCTGATGTATAAATTTGTAGGCCAGTACTTCAAGCCGTTCTATCACATCGCCAATGGATGGTTTCGAGAGGCTTTGCGTATGAAGGAGAAACAGCAGTACCGCTATGATGCTTTCGTGTCTTACAGCGGTAAGGATGAGCACTGGGTCATAGAGGAACTTCTTCCAAACTTAGAGCAGCGCGGGCCTCCATTTCTGCGTCTCTGTCTGCACAGTCGGGACTTTCAGTTGGGACACGACATTGTGGAAAACATCACAGACAGCATCTACGCAAGTCGCCGGACTCTTTGTCTCGTCAGTCGCAACTACCTCAATAGCAACTGGTGCTCACTGGAGATGCAGCTGGCCACCTACCGGCTCCAGGTAGAACACAGAGACATTCTTATCCTGGTCTTCCTAGAAAACATTCCATCTCGCTTGCTTTCCTCCCATCACAGACTGGCCCGGCTGGTGAAAACTAGGACCTATCTGGACTGGCTACAGGAGCCGGAGATGCATGATGCATTCTGGGACAGGTTGTGGTGTAAACTGAGCTCTAATAAAGCCAACTAGACTTTCCTTCTGTTTATTGTAAAGTTGCTTAAGATAATTACAAACTTTCTTTTGCA